AACTCACTTTAAATATAAAGACACAACAGGTTAAAAGCAAAAGGACTGAAAAAGATGCCAAGCTTTCACTAATCAAAAGAAAGATGAAGTGGCTGTGTTAATGCCACATAAGGAAAGATCTCAGAGCAAACACTGTTACTGGGATATAAAGGGCCATTTTATAACAATAAAGAGGTCACTTCATCAAGAGGACAAAACAATCTTAAACAATTATGCATCTAATAACAGAAATACATAATGTGAGAAATAAACAATGACAGACTCAGAAGGAAAAATAATCAAATTCACTAAGAGAAATTTCAAGATCCTTTTCTCAGTAATTGATATAACAAGTTGACAAACATCATCACAGATGTAGAAAACATGAACAACACTATTAACCAACTTGACCTAATTTACATTTATAGAATACTATATTCAAATGTGGTTTCTGATCACAGAATTGAACTAGAAATCAGTATTTGGGAAACACCAAAATACTCAAATAGTAAATATCAGTTCTAAATAACCCATAGATCAAACAAGAAATCAAAACGGATATTACAAAGTATTTTGGGGCTGGGCACAGTGGCTCATGCCTGTAATCCTAGCATTTAGGGAGGTCAAGATGGGAGGATCACTTGAGCCCAGGAGTTTGAGATCCCATCTTTACAAGAAAAAAAAAAAAAAAATCAGCCATGAGTGGTGGCACATGTGTATGATCTCAGTCACTTAGGAGGCTGACACGGGAGGATCTCTTAAGCCAGGAGGTCAAGGCTGCGGTGAGCCATAATCATGCCACTGAACTCCAGCCTGGGCGACAGAGTGAAACCTTGTCTCAAAAAAAAGGACTTTGAACTGAATAACAATGAATGTCTTATCAAAATCTGTGGGACACAGCTATAACCAGTGCTTAGAGGAAATGTAAAACGAGGAGTCAATATTAGAAAACAAGAAAGATCTCAGACAACTGATTTAAACTGTCACCTTAAAAACTACAAAAAGACAAGCAAATTAAACCCAAAACAAGCAGAAGGAAATAACAGGAATTATAACACAAAGCAATGAAATTAAAAATATAAAAATAAAGAGAATCAAAGAAACCAAAAGCAAGATTAAAAGGTGGCTCATGTCTGTAATCCCAGCACTTTGGGAGGCTGAGGCAGGTGGATCCCCTGAGGTCAGGAGTTCAAGACTAGCCTGACCAACACGGTGAAACCCCATCTCTACTAAAAATACAAAAATTAGCTGGGCATGGTGATGGGTGCCTGTAGCCTCAGCTACTTGGGAGGCTGAGGCAGGGGAATCACTTGAACTCAGTAGGGAGGGGAGGTTGCAGTGAGCCAAGATCACGCCATTGCACGCCAGCCTGGATGACAGAGTGAGACTCCATTTCAAAAAAAAAAAAAAAAAAAATCCTTTAGGGACAGGTATAGCGGCTCATGCCTGTAATCCCTATACTTTAGAAGGTCAAGGCAGGAGGACTCCTTGAAGCAAGAAGTTTGAGGCCAGCCTTGGCAACACAGTTAAGACCCTATCTCTACAAAAATTTTAAAATGGTGGCCTGCACTTGTAGTCCCAGCTACTCAGGAGGCTAAGGCAAGAGGATCACTTGAGCCCAGGAAGTCGAGGCTGCAGTGAGCTATGATCTAGCCACTGTGCTCCAGCCTGGGTGATAGGGTAAGACCCTGACTCAAAACAAACAAACAAAAAAATTCCTTAAGGTGTCATCCTGGATTAGCAAGAAAACTCACAAAGAGGTTCTTTAGACACAAACTTGGTGGCCAGATCACTGTCACTTTTTCTTTCAAAAACTCAATGACCTCACTAAAGCATTTGAAATGGCAATATCCTCTTGAAAATATAATGAATAGCCTAGGTAGGGCCAATTTTCTTTCTTTTTTTCTTTACTTTTCTTCTTCTTCTTTTTTTTTTTTTTTTGAGATGGAGTCTTGCTCTGTCGCCCAGGCTGGAGTGCAGTGGTGCAATCTCAGCTCATTGCAACCTCCGCCTCCTAGGTTCAAGCAATTCTCCTGCGTCAGCCTCCTGAGTAGCTCAGATTATAGGTGTGCCACCACCACACCCGGCTAATTTTTGTATTTTTAGTAGAGACGGGATTTCACCTTGTTGTTCATGCTGGTCTCAAACTCCTGACCTTGTGATCCACCAGCCTTGGCCTCCCCAAGTGCTGAGATTATAGGCGTTAGCCACCGCACCGAGCCAGTTAGGGCCAGTTTTCTACAGCTTGCCATTTTCCACTACACTTAAACACAGCAAGGTACAATAAATGATAGGTAGCTTCAACAAGAAATTAGAATAAAGATGGAAGTTTAAAATACAGTACAGGTCAGGCATGGTGGCTCATGCTTATAATCCCAACATTTTGGGACGCCTAAGCAGGAGGATCCCTAGAGACCAGGAGTTTGAGCCCAACCTGGCAAGAGTCCATCTCTACAAAAAATTTTAAAATTAGCCAAACGTGGTGGTATAGTAGTTCCAACTACTTGGGAGGCTATGGTGGGAGGATGGCTTGAGCCTGGCAGTTCAAGACTGCAGTGAGCTGTGATCATGTCACTGTACTCTTCCCTGGGCAACAGAGCAAAACTCCTGTTTCAAAAATTTAATTAATTAATTAATTAATTAATTAAAATACAGGACAGCGATTCCTCTTAGAGGGCAGAGTGGCAGATACAAATGTGGAATTATAGACACAGACAGGTGGGTAAACCGATTCGATCTCTGTTTTACCCAACATTAAAAATATAGAGTGCTCTGTGACTGGAGCATTGTAAGAGCCCAACAAAAATGTGCTGAATAAGTAAGACAAATGTATGAAATGAAAAATGAATAACTGAGTGAAGGAAAAGAATGAAGGGGAAAAGATGAAAACAACAACAGCTGGGCAAGAAGGATAAATATCTGTTTCAAAAAAGATGGGTGGGGGAGGAAGACAGAGTAAAGGAGAAGAACCAGGAGAGCAGAGCATCGTGGTAGTCAAAGAGGAAGCAAGCTGCAAGAGTGGCCAAGAAAGTAACATGCTACGGAGATAAAGAAAAATGAGGAGGGCCACAAATCTAAAACAATAAAAGAAGTATTTTGATAACTCTGCAAGAATAGAAGGCAGAATAGAATACACATTGTTCCCAATCAATAGCATATACTCTCAATACTGATGTCCAGGTTACCTTGAAAATTAAATTTAAAATGATAATAACCGTTTATTAATAATTTCCCATGTACCAGGTTTTTGCTGGATTTGTAAAATTAACCCAAAATATCACAAGTCAAATTAAGCTGATATGAATTACCGTTAGGAAGTATGACTGATGGTATCTATAACTAAAAAGCTTAAGCTCAACTGACTCTATTGTACTGTATCTGAAAGAATCTGTTAATGGTAAGGAAATAGTCTTGAATGACATATAAAATGGAACCTCAGAGTAAGAAAAAAAGGTGTAACATTCTCCAATACTATCTAAGGGGTAATTGAGGCAGGAACAACTAGATGGGAAATAAATCCCAAGAGTGAGATGCATCATGCTATTATAATTTAAGACACTGACCATTAATAAAATCCAACTAACCTACTTGCTCTAATTCCATGTCCAAATAAGCTTCTGATGATAATTTGCTTCCTGTGTTATTTTGTTCAGTGGCCATTTGTACTACTTGATGATTATACTTCTCATTATGTGTACATTTTAGTGTACAGATTAGACTCTAGGGAATCAGTTCCATAAGCCTAATCACCTCTGGGTATACTAACAAATCACATTTTTAATCCTATAAATTCAAAAACCATCACAGACAGATGGTCTCCCTCTATATTGCTGAATATCTATTCAAACCACAACATTTTAAATAAATAATTAGCTGAGTCAGTGAGTCATTTTTTGGCCCCAAAGACAAGGATCTATCTTGGTATTGTCAAACTGCACCAAGTGAATCTGTACAATGCTAAAAGCAGTCTCCTAAAAAAGTTTGTTTTCTTACTATCATTGAAGTGGATATGCATTCAACTTCTACAGATCTTAGACGAGTGTTTCTTTTCCTAAGACATACATGGGAAAAAAAACTGAAGAGAGCTGTCAGTATACCCAAATAGATTTCCAATTAGGAAGGTACAAAGAAAACACCTCAGGAGATTTATCCTTAAAAAACAAAAAACACTGTGTCACAGTAGAAACAAAGAATGGATCAATGTTGCAGAAGATAGAAGTGAAGTAAAAAAGCACTACTTTAGCTACTGTGCAGACACAGCCAAGGAGATACAGAGAAGCAAGACAGTGGGAATCCACATAGCCCTCCAAGAGACCATGTGCAAGTTTCTCAACTTATGTGGACCTTGCTTTCCTCTTGTGTAAAATGAGGAAATTGGATCAATTAATCTCTAAGGTTCTTTTCAATTCTAAGTTCTATAATAATTAATTCCTTTAATGATGAATGGGACAGGTACAGAAACAAATTTACCAAGAAAATTTAAGAGTAGCTTTGCTCAAACAATATAGCACATTTCTTCCCAAGTGGAATCTATTTTACCTCCAATTTCCTGGAGTGAAGTCTATTTAACTTCCAACTTTTTGAACCTTTATTTTACAATAAAACTATATCTAATAACATATAAAAATCAGCATATATAGGGGGAAATATCAACCTGCTACAGCAGTCATTCAAGAATAAAAATTGGGCCAGGAGTGGTAGCTCACGCCTATAATCCCAGCCCTTTTGGGAGGTCTTGGCGGACAGATCACTTGAGATCAGGAGTTTGAAACCAGCCTGGCCAACATGGTGAAACCTGATCTGTACTAAAAATATAAAAATATTACTCAGGCACGGTGGTGGGTGCCTGTAATCCCAGCTACTCAGGAGGCTAAAAAGGAGAATTGCTTGAACCTGGGAGGCCGAGGTTGCAGTGAGCTGAGACCACACCACTGCACTCCAGCCTAGGCGACAGAGTGAGACTCCATCTCAAAAAAAAAAAAAAAAAGAAAAAAAGAATAAAAATAGAACAGAAGACTTACGCATGTCTTTCATATCTAAGGGTTTCCCGGATGGACCATGCAACCTGGTAGGGTGAGGCCTGCTCTGAGTCCTCCGGTTCCTCTCCACTCTCTTCAGACCAGTCCAACCCTGGGGTAAACAGGAGATATTGCAAGTTAGAAAAAATTACTGTTATTCAAAATTTAAATTAAAAAGCTACACAAAATAACATAACCCAACACACCCATAGCAAGTACCATCATGGTGTGAATAAATGCCTCCTGATTAATCTCATTTCTGTTCATACAAAGATATTAATAATGAATGTATGATGCACAATAGGGTTTTTTAAATGACATGACAACAAAAAGCCTAAGCTATATTCTACAGACGAACTTGTTTTGTCAGACACTTCACTAATAGGGTAGAAATAACAAAAGCAAAGACAGAGTTCAGGTCACAAAAAAGGTAGAATTTCTTTCTTTTTTTTCACTGGGGTTTTGCCCTGTCACCCAGGCTGGAATGAGTGGCACAATCTCAGCTTACTGCAACCTCTGCTTCCTGGGTTTAAGTGATTCTCATGCCTCATCCTCCCGAATAGCTGGGATTACAGGTGCCCGCCACCATACACAGTTAATTTTTGTATTTTTAGTAGAGACAGGGTTTTTCCATGTTGGCCAGGCTTGTCTTGAACTTCTGACATTAAATGATCCACCCCCCGCCCTGGCCTCCCAAAGTGCCGGGATTACAGGTGTGAGCCACTGCGTCCGGCCAGAATTTCTTTAAGTATTAAAACTTCATACACTAAAATGATGTCAGAAAAACATAAAATATATTCAAGAGGGTGAAAAAAGCAGCTCAACACATGTTCAGGCAGGAAAAAGGTCAATACCTGCTTCTGAATGGCTTTATAAAAACAACAAAAAAAAGAAAAAGGTCAAAAAGTAGAGACAGAGTCACCCTACATTTCAACAAAGAAGGGCCCTACGATAAAGTCTCAAAGGCAGAAACACTCCATCCCCCACTCCCAAACGATTCTTTAGTTCTTACCTTCTACAGGAAAATGGAAGGGTGGGATGGTCACGTTCTATTACTAATGAGATTTGGGATTTCTTTCAATTATTTTAAACAAAAGCTGTCAGATTTTGTGCTCCACTATATAAAACAAGGTTAGAAGGAAAGATGGATGAATGCAGTATATATTAATATTTTGTTAAAGGGTCTCACTCTGTTGCCCAGGTTGGAGGGTAGTGGTACAATCTCGGCTCACTACACACTTGACCTCCCGGGCTCAAGTGATCCTCCCACCTCAGCCTTCAGAGTAGCTGGCACTACAGGCAGCACCACCATGCCCAGCTAATCTTTGTATTTTTTGTAGAGATGGGGTTTCACCATGTTGACCAGGCTGCTGTCGAACTCCTGAGCTCAAGTGATCTACCTGCCTTAGCCTCCCAAAGTGCTGCAATTACAGGCATGAGCCACTGTGCACAGCCAAATGCTATAATTTTTAATGATTAAATAATTTTTAACTCCTGACATAAAAGCTTTACCCTTTTAAAAGTCTTGTATCTTGGCCAGGTACACTGGCTCATGCTTGTAATCCCAGCAGTTTGGGAGGCTGGGGAGGGAGGATCGCTTGAGGCAAGGAGTTAGAGATCAGACTGGGTAACAAAGCCTAGACACCGACTCTACAAAAAACTTAAAAATTAGCCAGCCAGAGTGGTACATGCCTGCAGTCCCAACTACTCAGGAGACTGAAGCAGGAGGATCAATTGACCCTTGAGGCCACAGTGAGCCATAATCATGCCACTGCACTTCAGCCTGGTGACAGAGCAAGGCCCTATCTCTAAAAGTTAAAAAAAATTTTTTTTTAATTTTTATATCTTGAAGAGGTCTTGATAAAGACTGACGTTGCACAGACAGCCTAAAGTGTAACAGTATGTGGGACTATATAAGTTTAATATATTCATACCTCTATGAAACTTACAAGACACCTTGATAACTATTTTATTTACATCTTCCTTCTTGAGAACCTCAAAAATCAAGAGTATTAGACAGTTACATTAAAAAGGACTTCACGGATTGCTTCCATAGTTTAAATGAGTTTACAAGTGCCAAATAGGGAAATTAAGAAAAGGTTAATTGAAATGCAAATTATAAATGTTTAAGATTAAATAACACATTGCCATTGGCATAAAGAAACTTCAAATCTGTTCCAAGATGACTATCTAAAATGTCAGGTCACCTTTAAAAATGAGCTACTTTCTCTCAACTGAAATAATTAATAATTTGTAGGGGGAAAGGTAAAAAAGCAGTTAAGTGATCACAACAGCATCAACTTCAGTGTGTTTAAAGGTAAGGTCCTCCTAAGTGACATTTAAGTCACCACTAAAAAACAGAGCATGAGTTATCTTTTATTTGTTTCAATAGAATAATTTCTACTCAGACACCTATACTTTCTCTGAGGAAGTCAAGATCTAAGTTATAAAAACTAAGATGGGGCTGGGCGTGGTGGCTCACGCTTATAATCCCAGCACTTTGGGAGGCCAAGGTGGGAGGATCACCTGAGGTCAGGAGTTCAAGATCAGCCTGGCCAACATTGTGAAACCCCATCTCCACAAAAATACCAAAATTAGCCAAGTGGGTACCTGTAATCCCAGCTAATCGGGAGGCTGAAATGGGAGAACAGCTTGAACCCAGGACACAGAGGCTGCAGTGAGCCGAGATTGTGCCACTGTACTCCAACCTGGGTGACAGAATAAGACCCGATCTCATTAAAAAAAAAAACACAACCTAGAAGATGGAAGTGTTTTTCCTGCTGTGGAACTAACTGTCCAATAAAGCAAACCTTTGATCTTGGCTTCATTATCACTCATTTTAATGTAACTAACTGATATACTAACTGATATAACTAGCCTAGACAGGACTATAAAAGCTAATAAGACTGAGTTTTTATTTAAGTACTCTTTGTTGACATGAATACAGACAATACTTTGTCATAAAAGTGCATTACAATTTTTGGTTTCTCCAAAATAACCTTTGTTTTGAGAGCTTAAGCCTCTGAAATGTTTGCATTTTTAAAAACTTAAAAGGGTCACTATGTGTGCTGGCTCATGCCTATAAACCCAGCACTCTGGGAGGCCAAGGCAGGTAGATCACCCGAGGTCAGAAGTTCGAGACCAGACTGGCCAACCTGGTGAAACCCCATTTCTACTAAAAATACAAAAAATTAGCCAGGTATAGTGGTATGCGCCTATAATCCCAGCTACTCGGGAGGCTGAGGAAGAAGAATCGTTTGAACCTGGGAGGCAGAGGGTACAGAGCCGAGATCATGTGAGCCGAGATCATGTGAGCCGAGATCACGTCACTGCACTACAGCCTGGGTGACAGAGCAAGACTCCATCTCAGAAAAAGAGAAAAAAAATTTTAAAGGCTGAAAACTTTTTCTGTATGTTTTCATTCTGTTTAAAAGGATTTAAAAAATCAATGGGCATGGTGGCTCACGCCTGTAATCCCAACAATTTGGGAAGCCCAGGCAGGTGAATCACCTGAAGTCAGGAGTTCAAGACCAGCCTGACCAAGATGGAGAAACCCCATCTCTACTAAAAATACAAAATTAGCCAGGTGTGGTGGCGCATGCCTGTAACCCCAGCTACTCGGGAGGCTGAGGCAGAAGAATCGCTTGAACCTGGGAGGCAGAAGTTGCAGTGAGCTGAGATTGCGCCACTGTACTCCAGCCTGGGCAACAAGAGCGAAACTCCGTCTAAAAA